AAAAATATTATAAAAATGGGTAATGACATTTCTCACAAAATATTAGTAATAATTTTTATAAACACAGAGTACTTCATTCTTAAGTAATATTTATATCAATATTTCATGTCATTAATTTTCAATTTCTTTCTACATGTCTGTAATTCAATTTAGTCCTATTTATTAGTATTACTTATGTGGATTTTTCTTTTGTATTTTTTCTTCAATATGATGTCAATCAGAAAAATTTACATTTGGCTGGAAGGTGGGCCATTTATCCAGAACCAGGAATAATTACTGCTTTCACGATAGAGTCCAATCCATGAAGAAGATGATAGAATCTTCATCAACGTCTATCGTAAAACAAAAAAAAACTGTTTTAATAACCTTTATAAAGACTTTTATTACTTAAAAGCATTCAGGTACTGTTTTCTTTTACTTCATCTTTAATTTTCAAAACAAGATAAGTGTGCTAGATTCTAACACTAAAAATAAAAGTTGAAAATCAAATTTCATATTATCAAAAACTTTCACAAATGTGTTGGCTTTTCATCCAAAAGTTACTATTTAAATATTAATACTTAATAGTGTTACTCTCCTAGTTTTACTAAAAAAAGTTTAAATTCATGTAACTTAATAGTTGCCAGGGTTTGATAAACTAGCATAACCAAAACAAAACAAACCCACTTCCAATGATTCGATTCTGACTCGTAGCGATCCTATAGGAGAGAGTAGATCTGTCCCATAGGGTTTCCAAGGCTATAATCTTTACAGAAGCAGACTGCCACATCCTTCTCCCATGAAAAACCAGCATAGTAAGGGTTTAAATAAGCTTCCAGATACTATTACATTCTTCCCTCCAAAACAGTGTGTTTTTCTACTATGTTTCTCAGAGTTTGGTTTTGCAAAGGAAACTAAAGGGCTGCCATTGAGGAGATACATGACATAGAAGTCAAACATTTGGTTTTCTGGGCCCCACCTCTTTCTTCAACTAGACTAGTCCTGCTTCTACCACTTTTTGTGCTGGTAGAAGGTTTAATTTAGAAAGACAGTGACACACAAACACACTGACACACATACCAAATGAGAGAGAGAAATAGAAGGATTCAATACCTAGTGAAACTATACTTTCAGGTATGAAGGGGAAATAAATACATTCTCAGATGTAGAAAAACTAAAAGAACGTGTCAATAGCAAACCTACTCATTCCAACTAAGAAAGTTCTTCAAACAGAAATGAATAAGAAAGACTGTTGAAGCATCAGGAGGAAGAAAGAGCAATGAAAACTCATAGCGACCCAGTGCACAACAGAACGAAACACTGCCTGGTCTGCACCACCCTCACAATCGTTATTATGCTTGAGCCCATTGTTGCAGCCACTATATCAATCCGTCTCGTTGAGGATCTTCCTCTTTTCTGTTTGTCCTCTGCTTTACCAGGCTGGATGTCTTTCTCCAGCGACTAGTCCCTCCAGATAACATGTCCAAAGCCAAAGTATGTGACATGAAGTCTCCCCATTCTCGCTTCTAAGGAGCATTCTGGCTGTACCTCCTCCAAAACAGATATAGTCCTTCTTCTGGTAGTCTGTGGTATATTCAATATTCTTCACCAACACCTGAAATTCAAAAGCATGGATTCTTCTTCAGGCTTCTTAACTCATTGTCCAGCTTTCACATGCATATGAGGCCATTGAAAACATCATGGCTTGGGTCAGGTACCTTAGTGTGGGGATAAATGCCATTTAAACATGGCTGCACTATTGACAACTGCAGCCCCCACAGGCCTCTATGCTGCACAGCATGTTGAGACCTGGCTCCAACATGTCGAGACTTATGCGGATGTGTTTTCCCAAACCTATTGTCCCTTTACTGATTAACTTGTTTACCTGAATTCCTTCTCCCTTGCCCACTCCCAAAGCCCATTGTTATGTTAATTGCTTTATTGCTTGCTGTATTGACTATAAAATAAACTCCTGGGACTGAAGTGGGGGTCGACTCCTCAGAGTGACCCTCCTGGCCCCACTTCTCTGTAAGAGTTGTGCAGTTGGTTACTGTCTTCGCCGTCCCGATTACCGTCGCCGCTGCGACACCTTAGTACTCAAAGTGACATTTTTGCTTTTTAACACTTTAAAAAGAGATCTTTTGCAGCAGATTTGCCTAATGCAATACATCGTTTGATATCTTGACGGCTGCTTCTGTTGGTATTGATTGTGAATCCAATTAAAATGAAATCCTTTACAACTTCAATGTTTTCTCCATTTATGATGATGTTGCTTATTGGTCTAATTGTAAGGATTTTTGTTTTCTTTATGCTGAGTTGTAATCCACACTGAAGGCTGTAGTCTTTGATCTTCACCAGTAAGTGCTTCAAGCCCTCTTGGCTTTAAGCAAACAAGATTGTGTCAATCTGCATATCAAAGGTTGTGAATGAGTCTTCCTCCAATCCTGATGCTGCGTTTTTCATCATATAGTCTTGCTTCTTGGACTATTTGCTGAGTACACAAGATAAATAAGTATGGTAAAAGAATACAACCCTAAAGTACACCTTTCCTGATTTTAACCATGCAGCATCCCCTTGTTTTGTTCGAATGATTGCCTCTTGGTCTGTGTACAGAATCTACATGAGCACAAATAGGTCTTCTGGAATTCCCATTCTTCATAATGTTATATATAATTGTTATGATCCACTCAGCTGAATGTCTTTGAATAGTCAATAAAACACAGGTAAACATCTTTCTTGTATTCTCTGCTTCTACCAACGATTCCTCTGACATCAACAATGATATCCCTCATTCAGTTCTGAACCCAGCTTAAAGTTCTGGCACTTCCCTGTCAATGTACAGCTGCAGTTGCTTTTGAATTATCTTCAATAAAAATTTTGATAATTTTTGCATTCTGTTTGATCATTTTTCTCTGGAGTGTTTATAAATATAGATCTGATAGGTTAATTTTTCTTAATTGAAAGTCTATGTCATACAAACACTAATCCAAAAAAAAACTGCAGTGAGTATATTACTATGTGTCACAGATTAAATTGTATTCCCAAAAATATGTGTGTCAATTTGGCTAGGTCATCATTCCCAGCATTGTGTGACTGTCCACCATTTTGTCATCTGACGGGATTTTCCTATGTGTTGTAAATTCTATCTCTATGATGTTGAGATGGGATTAATTGCAGTCATGTTATTGAGGTAGGACTCAATCTACAAGACTGGATTGTGTCTTCAGCCAATCTCTTTTGAGATATAAAAGACAGAAGTGAGCGAAAAGTCAGGGGGACCTCGTACCTCCCAGAAAAAAGAGACAGGAGAATAATGTATCCTTTGGACCCAGGGTCCCTGAACTAAGAAACTCCTTGACCAGGGGAAGACTGATGACAAGCACCTTCCTTCAAAGCCGACAGAGAGAGAAGGCCTTTCCCTGGAGCTGATGTCAAGAATTTGGACTTGTAGCCTACTAGACTGTGAGACCATAAATCTGTTTGTTAAAGCCATTCACTTGTGGTATTTCTGTTATAGCAGCCCTAGATAACTGAGATACTATGTAACAAACTAATATCCAGAACAAGGAATATTACAAGAGTTAAAGAGGACCATTATATACTGATAAATGAGTAGATTGATCAAAAAAGACAAAATAATTTTTAATATATATGCACCTAACATGAAAATTTCACATACATAAAGCAAATCTGATAGAGTTGAAGGTGAAAAAGACAAATCCACAGTTATATCTGTTGACTTTACTACTGTTTTCTCTCTATCCAATAGAACACGTAGACAGAAAATCATTAGCAGAAGAGTTGAACATCACTAACAACTATGTTAACAGAATGGACATTCATAGAACACGTCCCACAATAATGTACATTCTTGTCACCTGCACATAGGATATTCACCAACATAGACCATACACTGGGCCATAAAACAAACATCAACAGATTTTAAGGAACCGGAATCATAGAAAATATTTTTTTTAATACTGTGCAATATAATTAGAAATTAATAATAAAAGAGAATATGTGAAGAATTTATATAACCTAAGAGGTCAATGAGAACGTCACAAAGAAATTTAAAAAAATGAACAGAATGAAATGAAAAAACAGCATATCAATATTTGTGAATTGTAGTTAAAGCAGTGTCAAGAGGTAAATTTAACACATTAAGTTCCTATTTTATAAAATACAAAAGGTCTGAAATAAATGATCTAACTTCAACTTCAAGAAATAAAGAGAAGAGAAAAACTCAAATAAAGAAGGAAGAATACATAAAGATAATAGCATAAATTAATGAAAATGAAAACTGCAAAACAGAATAAATAAATGAAACCAACTCATTTTCTCGGACAGACTAATTAAATTGATGAACCTCCAACCAGAAAGACAAATACCAAGGCAGAAGCTATAAATTATATACAGAAATCAAAAGAGGGGACACAACTACAGATCTTATGACCATGAAGATCGCACAGGGCTGGGCAGCTTTTGCTGTGTTGTACATAAGGTCGCCATTAGCTGGAGGTGACTTGAAGGTAACTAACAACAGCAACAACAACAACTGCAGATATTACTGAAATAAAAACAAAGAGTAAAATGTTCTAAAAACTGTATGCTAATAACTTTTGCAATCTTGGTAAAAACAAATTAGTGAAAGCACCAAAGATTACTCAAAAAATTAATTGATTAATGAAAGATATCCTAAGAAGTTATCTAGTAATTCCATGTGTTAACAAGGATATAGATGAAATAAAACTCTCAAACAATTTTAGGAGTGGACAATGGTGCAAACATGTTGAAAAGATTCTGCCAAGACTTTATTTTAAAGTTAAACATACACCTCACCTATGATCCAGCAATTTCACTTGAATTCCACAAAATTGAAAATGTATGTACACATAGCTTTTTGCACAAGCTTTTTCATAGTAGTTTTTTTCAGAATAGAAAAATTCTGGAGACATTTCAAGTGTCCATAAACAGGTGAATCGATCAACAAATTAGGGAATATGTACTCACTTGTGAAGTGAAGCATTGATAGAAGAAAAACTAAGATACGATGTTGGAAATCAAGCATCTGAAAGTGAGTACTTACAGGATCAAGGAAATATTGTCTTGCTTGGTGTGGTGTGTTCATAGATGCATATCTTTGTCAAAGTCATTGAACTGTACATGCAGAACTTGGGCAGTTGAATGCAAGTGAATTATGCTTCACTTATAAAATAACACAAAAAGAACAGATGAAATCTCCACCTTGACGTACACATCCAGATGTTAACTAACTATTGAATGGATAAACAAACTGTGGCATATCCATACACGTACTACTCATTAATGAAAAATGCTACAGCATGGATGAATTTCAAAATTATTATGTTAAATGAAAGGGATAAGAAAAAAATGTGTGATTCCATTTATAAAAAAATTCTAGAAAGTGCCAAATAATCAATGATGATAGAAGGTAGATCAGTGTTTTTCTATAATTGGGGATGGATGAAGGACGGAGAAGGGGCTATAAAGGTGATTAATGAAACTTTTGAGGGTAAGAGTTGTATTCATTATTTATAATTGATGGTTTCACAGGTATACGTATATTAACTCAAGAAATTATATGATTTAAATATGTACAGTTTATTTTATGTCAAGTATACCTCAAGAAATGGTTTTAAAAGGGAGAAAAAGTAAACTTCCTTATTCGGATGGAGTTGTCTTCAAAAAAAACAACAGAATATGTACCCGGTGATGAAATGATTAAAGCTCTTACTGCGACACAGGTCAATGAGACCATGATGCCCAATAGCACTTTCTCTCCTCAGTTTTGAAGTGAGCAGTCTTTCAAGTAAATACATAAATAAACTAGATATAAATTGTAACAGAAGGGATACAACTGACCCAGGCCTGACATGATTAAATTTTGTGGCAGAAAGTGAAAAGGAACTTAAAGGCAAATGACTAGAATTACTAAGTGTGTTTAGAAAGATTGCTGGACACAAGGTCAATGTCCACATATCATTAGCGAAGGATAAATTAGAAACATCAGAAAAGGAAATATAAAAGATACCGGAGCCAAATCAAACAAACATTTGATTTCAAATTTCAAGACTTCTACACAAAACCATGCTGAGAGAAAATAAATGGACGATAAAATCTGGTTAAGATATTACATTATTAAGATGTCAATTTTCAACAACTAATCTATTGGTTTAACATAACTTAAATAGAGTCACATCATGTGTTTTGAGCATATTTATATAGAAATGTAAAGGGCTAAGTGTAGAAGAAGTAAATAAATCTTGAAGGAGAACACTGAATAGATAGAAAATAGAATGCTTTAGTGATTTTGCCCACGTGATATTGATGTAAGAAAAAACAGCAGAAAAGTGAAACATGGTAGTGACCAAGAACATATCCACATACAAATGTACATCAATATCCTTGATTTATCACAAAGGTGGCCACAAAAAGGAATAGATAACTGATCATTTTTACCATAAATTATGCTCATTCAATTAGATAATGATGTTGAAAAGTATAACCTTCTATCAGCATTACAAAAATGAATTTCAATAGATTATACATCTGGACCAATATATCATAACTGGGCCCATAAGTAACCTCATGATAAATGGAGAAAATATTGAGTTGTCAAGGATTTCATTTTACTAGGAGCCTTAATCAATGCCCATGGAAGCAGCAGTCAAGAGAAAGATGACACATTACCAAGGGCAAATCTGCTGCAAAAGATCTCTTTAAAGTGCTATCAAGCAAACAAGTCACTTTGAGGACTAAGGAGCACTTGACCCAAGTCATAGTGTTTTCAGTAGCCTCATATGCATGTGAAAGCTGGAAAATGAACAAGGAAGAGAGAAGTAGAAATGATGCATTTAAATTATGGTGTTGGCGAAGAATATTGACTATACCATGGACTGCTAGAAGAACGAACAAGTCTGTCTTGGAAGAAGTACAGCCAGAATGCTCATGAGTAGCAAGGATGAGCAGACTTTGTTTCCCGTATTTTGGACATGTTATCTGGAGGGACCAGTCCCTGGAGAAGGACATCGTGCGTGGTAAAATAGAGTGTCAGTGAAAAAGAGGAAGACCGTCAAAGAGATGGACTGACACAGTGTCTGCAACAATGGACTCAGTATGACAACAATTGTGAGGACGGCACAGGACTGGGTAGTGTCTCATTCTGTTGTACATGGGGTTGCTATGAGTTGGAAGCAACTCGACGACACCTAACAACACATCTAAATGTAATAGGTAAACATTTTCAGAAAAAAATTTTTTTTAAAAATAAAATATAAAATTGACAGATTAATTTAGTAGATTATCTATACTGAAATTTGATTAATTACTAAAAGAGCTCCAAAATAAGCACTAATAATATAAATGAGAAATTAGACTATGCTAATATTAATCAATTCTATTCATTAAAAGACTCTGACATGGGAGTAAATATGAAACCACAGAAAAGTAAAACTCTTATAAAGTTATCAAGTCAAAAAGAGATCATATCCAAATTATGTCAAGAATTTATTGGTGGGAAAAGACTGACAATCACAGAGGAAAAACGGACAAGAGGCATGAATAGGCACTTGATAAAAGAAGATGTTCTAGTGGCCAATAGCACATGAAAATGTGTTCAATCTAACAAGAGTTAGGAAAATGTCTATTAACGTAATAATGATACTATCACAGAACAATCAAACGTCTACTTTTAAAATTTCTCATACTATGAAGTTTTGATGAGGACATGGATCAAGGGACAGGTTCAAACACTGTTCGATAATATGTGTATGTGTGCTATGAACTAGTAAACTGTTGGGATAATTTAAAAATATTGACATGTACATACACCTATAACCCTACATGATCCTACATTTTCATTCCTGTGCATCTAGGTATTATATGGACAAAAGACATCCAGAAAGATATTTAGAGAATAATTACACATAATAGCTAAATAGTAGCTAAGTATTATCATAATAGTTAAATTTCTATTCACCACAGTATGGATTTTAAAGTGTTTATTCACATAAAAATGAGCTCCTGGCAGTACAAATGGTTAAGCACTTGGCCACTAATGGAAAGTTTGAAAGTTCAAGACTACCCAGATGTGCCTGGAAAGACAGGCCTGACAACCTACTTCTGAAAGTTACAGCCACTGAAAACTCCTGGAGTGCAGCTCCGCTCTGAAACACATGGGCCTCTGTGAGTCGGAATCATCTCCATGGCAACTGGTTCAGTTTTTTCGTTATTTTTGGTGGGTTTACTCACACAACACAGCATTGAAAATGAACAAACTACAACTAAACACAGCAATATAGTTCACTGGCACAGATACCATATGTGAGTAAAAGGAGACACTCAAAAGTGCATGCTATAGGATTCCTTTTATACAAAGTTCAAAACTGAGTAAAGCTAATCTGTGATAAAAGTCAGGAGAGTGGTTTGGGAAGAAGAAGGAGAAGTGATAAGAGCATACACAGGGGCAGAGCTAATGCAGGAAGGACGGCTACCATTTTCTATTTCTTGACCTGGTTTGTAATTACATGGGTCTATTCATCTTGTGATTAATCTTCACAATTTTGATTTATTTGTTTATGGTCAAATGAAACAACAAAGTTTATTTTAGGAAAAAAAGTTTACGGAAGCTTTGTTTTTCATAAATAGCAAAAATGAAATAAACCAATGTATTTTAATGGTATAAAATATAAATAAAGCATTGTCAAGTCAAACAATGGAGTACTATGTAGCCTTTAAAAAAAATAATGCACAACTCTGGAAAAATTAGTCTTAGAAGAATCACAATCAGAATGCTCCTTAGAAGCAAGGATGGCGAGACTTTGGCTTGCTTACTTCAGACATGTCATCAGGAAAGACCAATCACTGGAAAAGGACATCTCGTTTGGTAAAGCAGAGGGCCAGTGAAAATGAGAGAAACGTTCAGTGAGATGAATGGACAACAATGGACTCAGAGACACCAATGACCATTAAGATGGCACAGGACCAGACAACGTTTTCCTCGTTCATAAGGTCTCCATGGGTCGGAGTCAATTCAAGGGCAACTAAAAACAATATGGACAAAAATATGGGTGAATCCTAAAAACACAACATCAACTGAAATATGTAAGACACTAAACACTTCACATAGTATAATTCTCTTTATATAACTTGCAAAGTAGGCAAATCTTTATTGTTTAAGATGCATAGGAAACATGGCACATCAGTAATGTTTCTTGATAGTTGCTATTCACTCAAATATATTTTGTATCCATTTCTTTTAGTATGTTATACCTTTCAATAAAATATTTCAAACATTTGAAATCTTACCATTTCTTCTTCATTATCCATATAAAACAGCTTAGATTTCTTAGAAACACAGGCCATCCGACTCTCAGTCCAGTTTTTTATATCACAGCTAATATAATAGCAATGGTTGGAATAGGAGAACCAGTCCTCTGGACAACGGTGACAATGATTAGCTGAAAAAAGAATATGAGTCACTATCCAGAACCCAGTTGAATTAAAAAATATAAGGTGACATATTTGCATAGGCATAACTATGTATTTATATAAGCTATATATGCAATCTCATGCACTTACATATACATATAAAGAAACACACACACAGAGGAAAGGTCAGCCTCTCAGCCCCTAATTTATGTACAATTAAAAAGCAAACAAACAAAAATTCAATCCTATATATGTCCTGAAAATCACTGAATACCACTTTATTAGAATAACAAAATTATTTATCTTACCATGCTCTTGTTATTGTTGTTAGGAGCTGTTGAGTCAGTTTTCAACTCATAACAACCCAATATGACACAGTAGAACTTCCTCATAGAATTTTGTAGGCAGAGCCCTGGTTGTGCAGTAGTTAAGAGCTTGGCTGCTAAGCAAAAGGTAGGCAGTTCAAATCCACCAGCCGCTCCGTGGAAACCCTACAGGGCAGTTCTACTATGTCTTATAGGGTCACTGTGAGTTGGAATCCACTCAACAAGAACACGTTTTGTTGTATGGTTTTGTTTAATCTTTACAGGAGCAGTAGAAACTTTGAGGCAGTTGTCAAAAGAAGGCTATAGTGATTGTAAAAGAATATTTCCTCTAACTTTTGAACAAGAAGGAGTTCCTCATATGATCTTTATTTATGAAAATATATTGCTATATTTTTGAAGGTTTTAAAAAATCTGTTCTTATTTCTTCATGACATAAAATAGAGACAAAATACAATCTTAATATATCAGCCCTGGTGGCTCAGTGCTTAAGAGTTTGGCTGCTAACCAAAAGGCTGGCAGTTGAAATCTACCAGTTGCTCCTTGGAAATCCTTTGGGACAGGTCTAAACTGTCCTATAGGGTCTCTAGGCGTCAGAATTGACTCGCTGGCAATGGGTTTGGTTTGGTTTATATCATAACTTTTAAAATTATGACATACCTTTCTGAGTTCTGTTCTTGTCCATCATTCCAATAGCTAGAAAGATTGTAGTAATTATTATAGAGATTAATATTTCTGTAGTAAAGCATAATTTTAGTTTCCTAATTTCAAATTTAGTATAACATTTAAAATTGTAATAATGTATATTAAAAATTATTTAACCAACAAAAAATAGTTAATGAAGGTTTTTGCAAAAACATATGAACAGTCTAATGGAGAAATTTTATCACCTCTTACAGTATTTGAATTAATTACATTCAAATATCAAATTTTATTCACAAGTGTTCTCAGTCTTTCATTACAAGTCATTGAGATGTTACACACACATGTATACCTAAACACAGATACAATACAGACATTTAGAATTATAACCATATACTCTCTACGATCATTCTCTGTATTTATACTTTTGAAACACTCTGAGTAACTTTTCCACATTTAATGCACATTGAGGAGGCATTTTTATTTACTAAGACTAAAAAACCTGGCAAACATATCACACAAATGCATACATTAAAATGAGAATTCTATTCCATAAAATGTGAAATATAAAGAGGCACTTTCAAACCTTTACAGGGAATATTCCTTGATAATCTTTCAAAAACTTACAGTTATTACTTGTGACTGTCACGGTTATTACACCGGCCGTCAAGATGAGGCAGATGAGTCCCAGGGTCCCAGCAATGAGCTTCCCTGGAGTGATGGGAGATGTGCAGAGAGAGAAATGGAAACACTGAGAAAGGATGGATGGAGCCAGTGTTCAGAGTGTTTACATACAGGAGAACTCAGATGCACAGGGAATCGTACAGAAATACTGGACATTGAACCCACAGTCTCCATTGTAATTTTTCTCTCAGAATATACCATCACATTGTCAGTAAAATAATAGCCCATTAGTTGTTCTTCAAAGCCCACAAATTTCAACAATGCCTGAACAGAATTAACCTTCTAATTTCCTAGAAGAACATGGTATTCGAACTTCAGGTCCGCTCCTCAAAAATGAAAACCAGTGAGCCTACTCCCTTACTCTGACTACCCTTGCTGCGTGTCTTCATTTTCACTCATTCCCCACATTTCTGCACTAGAACTGCACATTCTAGTGCAGTTATATTGAGAACTGATTAGATGATTTACCTTTCCAGTGGAAAGTCTTGTCCTTCTTCTGAAGATCTTGAGAAGCACTGTGAAGGTTTAATCCGACATAAGTTATTTCCCGCTCACTGACTGAAAAGCAGCTATCAGCGTCCTTAGGTTTGATTTGCTGCCTTTTTGGCTTCTTGGCCAGATTCAGTTCTGAGTAAGTTACTGTTTGATTATTCATCTCTGCAGCTGAGGGGTGTCAAGGTCTGTGCTCTACGAGAAACTGGGCTTGAGAAGGAAATATGTGCTGTGTACATGACAAGATCAAACTAGGTGGGGAGGAGGGTAAGTGTCAGTGCTCACTTTGCAGCTGAGAATCTAAAGTTCTGGTTCTAATTGACTTAGAGCCTTACACAAATGTCTCAGGGAGGAATAAGTAGTTTTTAAAGACATTCTGCATTCGATAAAGTATTTTTGGTTGGAGTAATAGAAAGCAATAAATCATTGAAGAATAAAGAAGTTCATAAATAAGAATATCCTTGCTTATTAAAAGTCATATTCCACAGAAATATTTTAAACTATTATAATACCTGGGTTAAGCATTAATATGCTGTTTTGGTAAAATAAAAAAAAAAGATGCATCGATTTATGACAATATTGTAATACAATAATGTTTAACCACTGAGTGCTCCAAAGCAGTGGGAATTGGCAGGTCAGCACATATCAAAATTTATTACAGTAAATCACCTTAATTTAGTGACTTATGTTTATTTATTAGGAGATGAAGGGCTATTGTAGGATCTCTTTCTTATTAATGAATGGGTGGAGAGTTCTGAGAAATCATTACATATTTAAGAAAATATGTATCAGAATAATTACATTTCACAATAAACAACTTAAAGACTGTTGGAAACATCATTTTAAACAACTTAAAGAGTGTATTTCTTATATAAAAATTATTGGCAATCAATTTAATTGCTAAAACAGGAGATAACAAATTGATAGATAAAAGTGCATCCCGTTTATGGAAGAACACTGTCGGTTCCAGCTTCCAGAAAGATCATAAGGTTGTCCCAGTCCGTGTGGGTTCTTTTAGTAGTGTAAGTAACTGGTGTAATTCAGTAATGTAGTTTAACGATTTTCTCATTGGACTCTGGGGTCAGAGAGGTCAAGAACTGAATACTGGTTTTGAAATTTACAATGCGTGACCGTTAAAAAGGTGATTAATAACTAGTAATCTAATATTCTAATCTAAAATGGGAATAATAAAATATAAAATGTAATGCATGTACGTATATAACGCTCAACCTGGCACTTACAAGCTCTGAACAGATAATAACAGTTTTAATTAATATTTTCATTGTAGTATTTTGTTGTTGCTTCTGATTTGCATTGGGTAGGAATTGCAAAATAACTCATTAGACAGCGTTCTCTTATATTAGTGTGTTTTTTCCCTGGTGTTTTGCTAAATTAATTTAAGTCTTTTGAAATTTATTATTA